ACAAACGTGCAAAGATTATATTAAAAATATTTATCACACTGTTATTTATAATAGCAAAAATCTGAAAACATTAAGATTTCCCTAAGGAATTAATTTAATAAATTGCAGCATATAGATAGATAAATAATGTTAAGGATATATTAGCTTGGAAAGATATTCATGATGTAGGTTTAATTAAAATAAATGATTAGCCAGGGATTTAGCTCAGTGGTTCTGGTGCCTGCCTCGCAACCGAGTTCAATCCCCAGTACCAAATAAATAAATAAATAAAATAAAAATAAATGATTAGTAAAATAGTGTTTACAGTATAATCTGGCAAAAGCCAATTAATTATAGTGGGTCAAGCTGATAGGGATTTGAGGCCCAGCTCCTCTACTTACAAATATGTAAAATTTACTAACTTCTCCACATTTTTAAAATTTCTGTTCAACTGGAGTGGAACCTAACTTGCAGAATTAGAAGGAGAATTCCAAGAACAGAATAGATTCATATGTAATAATACATAATCTATTATACACAGTAGATATACATTATACATAAGAGATTATGTATTATTGTATATTATATAACAGATAATAAGTAATGGATGTATAATATATATCATTTATCATTACTGTCAAATGTTTCAATAGTTATTGTCAACCAATTCTCATAAAAATAATTTTGAATACAAATATATCACATATAATATGATAATATACAACAGAAAATTGTACTTCATAGTCTTGAAGTGAATATACACATCCAAGTCAATTTTAGCTTGCGTAAACAAAACGTTCTATTTACCTGATCTAGTACAGGGGCTACAACCACTGGGCCGTGCGCCAGTGTAGGTTTGTGGTCTGTCAGGAGATGGGCTGCACGGCAAGAGGGATGTGGCAGGCGAGCCAGTGAAACCTCATCGGTACATACAGTCTCTGCTCCTCACTCATACTACGGCCTGCGCTCCACCTCCTGTCAGAAGAGTAGTGGCTTTAGCTTCTCATAGGAGCATGAACTCTACTGCATAAACTGCACGAGAAGGATTTAGATTGCACGATCTTAATGAAATTCTCATTCCTGATGACCAGAGGTGGGGCTAAAGCTGAGATGCTAGCAACGAAGAGAGGTCACAAAGAGATCAATGTTATCAGAAGGGTTTGACAGCAAAGAAATCATAATATTATGGCTGTAATTGATATAAAAACTCTATCAGTGATAGAGTACTACCAGACATACTCAGCTGCCTCGTCTTTGACAAAGGAACCAACCATCCTCAGTGGAGGAAATATAGCCTCTTCAATAAACTGTTCTGGAAAAACTGGATTTCAACCTGCCAAAGATTAAAACTAAACCCCCATCTTTCACCATGAGCTAAACTAAAATCAAAGTGGATTAAAGATCTAAATATTAAAACAGAAGCACTAAACTTGTTGGAAGATAAGTTAGGTAGAATTCTCGAAGACATTGGCATAGGAAAAGACTTCATGAACAAATCCTTTGTAGCATGGGAACTAGCACATAGAATCAACAACTGGGATCTCATCTTTTTAAAAAAGCTTCTTCACTGCAAGAGAAATCACCAACAGAGCTAAGAGACAACCCACAGTGTTGGAAAAATTTTTTTACCAACTGTTCCTCAGACAAAGGTCTACTCTCTAGAATACACAAAGAACTCAAAAAAGTCAGACCTCCCCCCAAATATAAAGACCTGATTCAAAAATGAGCATCTGAAATGAACAGACATTTCTCAAACAAGTCAAAGCAGCAAATAAACACATGAAAAAATGTTCAACATCACTGTCATTCAAGAGATGCAGATGAAAACAACACTGAGATTCCACCTCATCCCAGAAAGAATGACTGCTATCAAGAAATCAAGCAATAACAAATGCTGGAGGGGTTGTGGGGAGAAAGGAACCCTTCTTCATTGTTGGTGGGAGTGCAGACTGGTGCAACCACTGTGGAAATCAGTATAGAGATACCTCAAAGAACTAGGATTAGAGGTCCAATTTGACCCAGTTACCCCTCTGCTGGGTATCTTTCCAAAAGAATCATATGACAGTGACATATGTGGCAGTTTGTAATAGCTAAAACTTGGAAACAGTCCAATTACCCATCAACTGGATACTGGAGACTGGATAAAGAAGATGTCATTTTTCTATAAAACGGAATACTACTCAGCCATAAAGAATGAGAAACTAGAGACATTTATTGGTAAATGGATGCATATTGAGGCCATAGTCAAGTGAAATAAATAGGACTCATGTGTAAATATTGAATAATTTCTCTGGTGTGAAAAACTAAAAGTGTAAGTAAGGATCAAACTGTATAATTGATAATGTGAAATAGGAAGAAAAGGGCTAAAGGAATAGGGGAAGTGGGAACAGTAGGGAAAAGAAAGAAGGGAAAAGAGAAAATATGACAAATGAAAAGATTTTAAAAGTCTTTGTAAATAGGGAAGGATGGAGGGGGTGAAGGGAAGGCAGGGGAATGGGGAAAAAAATAACCAAGATACATCATGTAAAGGTACAAGATCCCAATGATGAATGTAACTATATTGTATACTTAAAATGTACCAATGAACTTAATAGAAAAAAATCTCTATCAGCAAGTGGCCAGTAACAAGCTGCATCTGGTAGCAGGTTTTATAGTGGCAAATAGGGTGGTGTATTTCAATTGCACCGTTGAGTCTGGTGCAGGCTTTAAGTCAGAATCTGACACTTAATTTAGTCTGTGCAGGGTGCACTGATTATTTAATTTACTACTTCTGTCAGTGCCTCATTCTTGCACAACACACTTGTCTCAGTCACAAGCTAACTCTAGCCGAAACAAATAAAACCCAAAAATAACCAGAGAGCTTCTTTGAAAAGGGGGAAAGACCAAATGATGACACAGTGGCAGAATCTAAGACTGGGAACAAAAAGAAAGCTACATTTAAAAGAGTACCAACAGTCCTCGGCATTATGGTAATTATTTCACTATATACCACAACATAATAACAATAGAAATAAAGTGTTCAATAAATATCGTGTGCTGGAATCTCCTCTTTCTCACCCACCCCAGTGCATGGAAAAAGTGTCTTCCACAAAACCAGTCCCACCAAGGCTGGGGACCACTGATTTAATAGATATGATAATGAATTTGATGCACCAGCTTTTGACACAGATTTGATTGCATATTAATAAACCAATAGGCAAACAAGGAAGCTTTTGGGGATTATTTTTGAGAACAAAACAAAGAACTGTCAAGTTTAGGTGGCCTTCATTATAAGAACTTTAAAAACCCTTAGTGATATAAATTAGAAACTGTCCTTTAGTCATTAAGCAAGATAACAATAACCTTTTCTGTGGCAGTTTCTATTACATTAATATTCAGTTTTTAATCATGTCAGGAAAAATATAACAAAGTAGGAAAGCCTCCTTTAAAGTATGCTTTCCCAATAAACATAGGAAAATAAACCACTGAAAATGAGAAAATAGGTTTTGCAGAAATATATTAACATGCCTCGCAGCATAGGTTCTATATATATATATATTAAAAAAAATACATACCCTTCTGTTCGAAAAATCATTCGAAAGCTGTCTCCCAAGCTTTTATAACTGTTTGGATCAGCTGTACTTCTCTGAATCTGGAACCTAGAAATAAAAAACAAACACAAAAAAGTCCAAGTTAAAGATTTTGCAAAGCGATTTTTCCCACTTTTCAGCCTTAGAAATTCATATTTTCAGATTAATCTGATTCTCATCTTTACTATAGATTTTATTGATTTGAGTATCTTATATAATCTTTGCCTTATTTCTGTAGAATTTAATAGAAACTCTGTATAATAGAAACTATAGAAAAGGATTCTTTTTTCATCTGCTACTTAGGCAGATGAATCCTGAGGCACTTACATTTTTTTGTTTTGTGAAAAGCATACACAGATGTCCTATATTAACATATAATTCAAAATCTAAAGATGTGTGTGAAACAAATATGTAGCTCTAAGTCTTATCTTAATTGGTATGTCTCAGTGATGATTTAATATACAGGTAAAAAGTACTGAGCAGCTAACATGGCCTTCCATGGATCCTGATGTGAATTTGGAATTAATTCTGGCAGGCAGGTGCCTGCAGTTGGAGTGAGAACTGAGATTGTATGTTGGGGTCATTTTACTATGCGGTGTATTATGTTGTTCAATTAAAAATTTTCTTCCTCCTCTTCCTCCTGCTCTTCCTTCTCCTCTCTCTTCTTTTTGAGTATGAACATTTATCTCAGAACTCTCACCTTGCAAATGTGGATGCTTCTAGGACCAGGTTTTTATTTTTTATTGTGAATTTGCCCTAAGGTTTGTATCTGAAGAGACTGATAACAAGTACCCTCATTTCTCCCCAACCCCAGTTGTTCGCCATTCTTTAGTTTATTTTGTCAGCTTACTCTTTTGGGTTTCCTTATTCTTATTCCAATTCTGATTTAAGGACCTTCTCTCTCTTCTGTTTCCCACCACAATTTCACTTGTTTCTTTAAAAAAAGAAATAACTTTTCACAATTGCTGCCAATACTATTTATTTCACGATGTTTTTCATATTATTGGCTTCATGATATGAACACAACAAAGAATAATGTACTTTAGATGCTCTCGGCCTCAGGGAAGTATGCTGAAGAATGATACACATCACAGAGAAAAGCGACTGAAGCCATTGGGCAAATTAATGGAATGATTCATCAAAGGCAAGAAGTGAAGCTGGAATCACGTTTGGTTTTACAAAGTGGAAAGCTGCTAAAAGTTTCTGGGCAGGAGAGTATCTGTTCAGGAATGTGGGAGGTGAATTTCTGAGCACAGTTCCTGGCACATGCAAATCCCTAAATAAATATTAGCTGGTGAGATGGGGTAGAGTTGTGAGTACAGGGTGAGAACAACTACGAAGGCATCACAAATGAAAACAATATAAATGAAGAAAAGGGGCACATGTTAGGTGGACATTTTTCTCTTAAATAAAATTTGTTGTTGATATATTCAGCATGTTCTTTTGATCTTTCACACAGCAAGTAATTTTCCACAACCCTATACCTACAATTGCCAAACTTTAAAGTGTCATAAATGCTCATCTTTAGAAAGTTGGATTTTTTGGTAAAATTTCCACCTATATTGGATCAGTTTAGATTAATTATACTCCTAAATTTAAACTGCACAGAGATTATAAGAAGGTCATATTCAGAATAGCAAACTCATTTAAATTGTTTTGGATCTAAAGACAATTTGGGTAGAAGACTCAGTGAAAGGTTCTTTCTAGCCTAAGAACAAGAGCTGATGGTCAGGTAGATGTATCATACTTGGATATTTTTGTTCTATAGCATCATATAGATGAGATAACTTGGTACTCTGAATACAAAAGAACTAACACCAAACAGAAAATAATACTATGGGAGGACTAGTTGGAGGTTTGTGCAAATATATCTAAAAAATATAGAACAATTTTCAAAATATGACTGGTTTTAGTTCAAATAAAGTAACTCCATTTCTGCAGTTACATATTTATAACCTATATTCATTGCTGAGTATTAAACACTTTCTCAAATCTAGTTAGGAAATCCAAGACTTTTCTCTAATTATTCTTTTTAAGAAAGTTATTTAAAATAGTCTCATACATTAGAAAAGTTTTACACACACATAGATTTTTTTTTATAATACCTGTAACAATCTTTTGTTAATATATTTACTTCAAATTCCTTTCTAGATGCTTTTCTTCCAAATTAGGAAGTTTTTTTCTTGATGTGTGCCACATGATATAAGACACAATAGGTTTTATAAAATCCCAGGAGATTATGTCCACTGTGAAGCAGCATAAAAAAGAAATACAAGCAAAAGCAATTGTAAATATAAGGGAGAACATCCGAAATGTCAAGCAGCTTGGGCACCAGGGTTATCCAGGTGTTCAAGGGGATGGGGTTCACTGCTTTGCTCTGAGGCTTAGGGAGGGTTTCAGGAAGGGAAAGGGATTTGAGCTGGTCCTCCTGGGATTCAGAGAGGCAAAAAGAGCAAACCAAGATGAAACATTTCAGGTGGGAAAGGAACAAAGGCCAGTGAGGGAAGGCTGCCCTTTCTGATGAGGAACTGAGAAAAAGACTCTCCTTCACCACAGAGCCTGTCTATCCGTAGTTCCTCCAGAAAGACGTAGCACTTGGCTAAAGCCACAGGCTCGAGTGCTCAGGTTGGGTGAAGACTCAGCTGCTTAGCAGAGGCACTTGGCAGATAAAGCCAAAGGCCCCTATAGAACTTTCAACCTTTCCCTGCACATCAGCCCAGCACGTCAACTACCTCCAATGGCCATGTCACCGTTGTGCAGCCCCAGTCTTAGATGGGACTGTGAAGAGTCAGCAGGTGGACCAAACCAAAAACACTCTCATGTCTAGAAAGACGACCTTAACTCCTCTTTTTCCCTCTTTTTCGGCTGATATTAGAGACTTGAGATTTATCTAAGATGTCTGCAAGTTCCGGCAATACCCAGGCTTTCATAAACATGAATATAGAATATAGTTACTTTATAACTAACTAGCTAACTAGCCCAGCTACTGGGATTCTAGGTACTTCACTCCTTAATTATGGTTTCTTTCTGTTTTTAGACCCCCAAAATAATATTTCCAATCCATTATTTATTCAGTTAATATGAGTTGCCTGTCCATTTTAGACCTGGAAATAAAGGTAATCAGTGAGATCCTTAAGGAATGCTTCTTATAAAAGGTGAATGTCTGATGAGTGTTGCTGTATTCTTTATTAACCAGAGAGGTGACATCAAAATAGCTACATGAAAAGAGTTCACAAACGTCACTGGACGAGCAATACAAAAGGACAGACAGGCATGACAAACACTGATGCCTCAGTAAAGCCTCCCAAACAGTCCTTGCTGTGCTAAAGCAGCTGAAAGTGCCATTAAACAGGTGAAAGCAAGTAGTGTTTCTTCTATTGTGAATCTCATACATAGAATGTCTACATTTTGCAGAGCGACAAAGTATATGTAGCATGTAGTTCCATTCCACATGACTTATTCTGATCACAGAGTTATCAGTTCTTCTAAGGAATCTGTTTCAAGTAGATATAATTATAGTGCATTTCGGTCAATCATGGTAAAAGAGCAATTTTCTTCTTCCTTTCCACTACATTTCAGCAATTTAAAAGGTTTCTCTCCTGCACTGAAATTCTACATTAGTATTCTCCAAGCTGCAATCTGTGCTAACAAATTCTCTCTATGCTGAGGAGCCAGTTTTCCACTTATGTAATAAAACTCTTTGTAAAACTGCAAAGGCAAAGCCACACTCTTATGGATTGCATTCGAAAGAAAAGGATAGACCTCTCCATTGTCCTAATAACAGAGGCTTGAATCTCCATCTGGAATCACACATCTGGAATTTCTATCTGAGAGAGAAATTAAGGAAAGAATCCCTTTCACAATAGCATCCAAAAAAAAAAAAAGAAAGAAAGAAAGAAAGAAAGAAAGAAAGAAATATCTAGGAATCAATCTAATGAAGGAAGCAAAAGATCTCTCCATTGAGAACTATAACACTCTGAAAAAAGAGATTGAAGAAGATAGAAGAAAATGGAAATACATCCCTTGTTCCTGGGTAGGAAAAATCAATATAGGGAAAATGGCCATACTTCCAAAACTGCTATACAAATTCAGTGCAATCCTGATTGAAATCCCAACAGCATATTTCACAGAACTAAAGAAAACAATACAAAAACTCATTTGGAACCAGAAGAGACCTGGAATAGAAAAAGCCATTCTAGGCAACAGAGACATGGCAGCGGGTATCACAATCCCCAACTTGAAACTATACTACAAAGCCACTGTGATAAAACAGCATGATACTGACAAAGAAACAGATCAAAGAATCTGTGGAATAGATTAGAAGATGCACAAAGAACTCCTGGCTTACTCAGCTACCTCATCTTTGACAAAGGAGCCAAATATCCTCAGTGGAGGGAAAGATAGCCTATTTAATTAAGTGTGTTGGAAAAACTGGATCCAAATATCCTCAGTGGAGGGAAAGATAGCCTATTTAATTAAGTGTGTTGGAAAAACTAGATTTCAACTTGCCAAAGGTTAAAACTAGATCCCTATCTTTCACCATGCACTAAACTGAAATCCAAGTGGATAAAAGATCTAAATATTAAAACAGAAACACTAAACTTGTTGGAAGATAAGTAGAACTCTTGAAGACATGGGCATAGGAAAAGACTTTATGAAAAAATGCTCAGTAGCATGGGGAGTAGCACATAGAATCAACAACTGGGATCTCATCTTTTTAAAAAGCTTCTGGACTGCAAGAGAAATCACCAACAGAGCTAAGAGACAACCCATAATGTTGGGAAAAAATTTTTTTTTACCAACTGTTCCTCAGACAAAGGTCCACTATCTAGAATATATAAGGAACTAAAAAAAAAAAAAATCAGTCCCCACCAAATATAAAGACCTGATTCAAAAATGGGCATCTGAAAGGAACAGACATTTCTCAGACAAAGAAATAAAAGCAACAAACACACATATGAAAAAATGTTCAACAGCATTGATCATTTGAGTGATGCAGAAGAAAGGCTCTATGGTGAAGGAGAGTCTTTTTTCTCACCCCAGAAAGAATGGCTGCTATCAAGAAATCA